GTGAATTTGTGATTATCTCCACTTATTGTCCTGTAAATCTACTGAACTATTATTGCATGAGTATATATGTCTCTCATTTTATGATCTCGTGTCCAGAGGGAAGGATGGGAAAGAGGTTCTGGGGAATTTGGGGAATAGCCTATGACTCACCCAAGCCCTTGCATAAGTCATCTAACTTCTCTATTCCTTGCCTACTCAGCCTATAAAGTGGGTGAGGCACAACACACCCACCTGCTTTGGTGGCACATGGACACAATGTCTCTTGCCAGAGATATTAGTGCTACCTGCAGATGGCAAACCCATTAGTGATATCCTTACCTCACAGAGCAGGAAGTGAGACAATCAGAGCCCAAAGATGGCACAAGATGCATACATGTGGCTGACGGCAAGCAAGATAGGCACTCACTAACAGAGACTGGCCTGAGCTGTACTGTCAATGTAAAACTTCAATCCATCCACTTGTTTAGTCATTTACTTACTCCGTAGTCTTCAGTTCCCAGTGTTAGAGCCAGTCAGTACACAGTGAACATGTCCACAGTTACAATCTCATGAAAATTATAGTCTGACTCCACAGACAGCTAGCTCGTGGGAATATATATTTCCTTTGTAGAGAGAGCATCTACAAACATAAATCATCATAGCCAGAGGGCTTTATACAGCCTGTTTATTAAAAATGGAAGTTGGGATGGCTTAGAGACAGTAAGAGCAGAATCATATGGTGGAAAAGTGACAGCAGGTAGAACTCAGGTTTCCCCATAATCTCTGAGCTGTCTCCTATTTCATCGATATATCCTAAAATAGCTCATGATATTTTCTTCCTGGAAAAATGGGGCTTCCCTATCCTGCATGTGTAAGATTGAGGACTCCTTAATAACTACCTATTTATTGGGGTACAGAAAGATAGGATTCCTGGAACAGCATGGATTTTAACACCAAACCAGCATGTTGTAGTAGACAAACAATACAATTTGAAGTCTCTTCTGCTTGAGTCCAAATTTTGACACTACAATTTCTAGTTACATGAGCTTGGATAAGTTCATTTTTCCTGAATTACTACTGCCACCACTGAACCCTGATGTAGCACTGTAGGATCAGCACTGGACTGCTAACCCCAAGCTTGGCAGTTCAAATACACCAGTCACTCTTGGAAACCCTATATAGGTTCACCATGAGTCAAAACCGATTCCACAGCACTTAGTAACAACCACAGTAACTGTGACCACCACCAGTAACCATCAAGTTAATTCAAACTCATGGAGATTCATGTGTGTTAGAGAAGAACTGTGCTCCATGAGGTTCTCAATGACTGTTTTGCGAGGGATGGAGATCACTAAACTGTTCTTCCAAAGCTCTTCTTGGTGGACTTGAACTTCCAAACTTTTGGTTAGCCACTGAGCACCTTAACCATTTACACCACTCAAGGATGCCTATAATAAAATTTTTTAAAAAAATCCATTGTCATTGAGTTGGTTCAGACTCATGTGACCCCTTTAAAACAAACAAAACACCGAAATCAATAGCCTTCAAATAGATTCCACTCACGACAACTCCTATGTTGTTGGTGTTAAGTGCTGTTGAATCAGTTCTTACTCATAGTGGCCCTGTATAGGGTTTCTGAAGAGCAACTGGTGGGTTTGAACCAACAACCTTGCAGTTAGCAATCCAGTGCTTACCCTACAGAACCACACCAGGGCTCCAGACGACTCCTATAATGAGGAATAAATTTGATAAGCTATGAGTCAGAACCAACTAGACAACACTTAGCATCAACAACAACAGCAATCCCATGTGAAGTTTCCGATCTCAGTAAGAAATTGTTCTTTTCCCTTTCCCTCTATAGAACACCAGGCCTGGGAGTTATCTGAAATGGAATGCTTGGCAGAGCAAGAAACAGTGGCTTGTTAACATACTTACTCCATCCCCTTGGGAGGAGGAACTGGTGGGCATCACAGATAAAAGTCCACCAGTGACAGGAATGACAGAAAAAAGAAGTAGGACACTTTCTAAGTTTGAGTAGACCCTCCTCTTCTTGCTTCCTTCAAATTGTTCCAGAGCATATTCTGCAAGACCTGCCTTGTGGTGAGAGGAGGAGTTCATGAGTGAAGGGACTGTGAACTAGTAGGGCTCTGAAGTCTTTTAGTATAGAGAATTTGGAAGCTTTTAAGTTTATGGTTTTTGGAGAATTGGGGGATCTATTATGGACAAATGTGTGAACAACTTTTACCTGAGAGACCACAGGGGCCAAGGTGGGTCCTGGGCTGGATGACTTCAGAAAGTGACTATTTGGAAGCAGTGTCAGGTTCAGGTTACATGCAACTTTCTATAGTGTTGAGAGCATGGGCTTTGGAACTAGATAAATTTGGGCTCAGATGATATTCTGTCATCTACCAATGTGATAACTTTGGGTCATCTGGGCCTCTGGGTTTTAGCTTTCTTTTCTGTAAAATTTGGGCTAACACATTCTCTCTCATAGGATTGTTATGAATATTGAATGAAATATCACAAGTAAAGAGGGCAGGGCAGCAGTCAGCACAAAGTAAGTGCTCAGAAGATATTATTGTCACCTCTCTTTTTCTACCTATTACAGTGTGGTGCTGCTGTAGGATAAGCACTGGACCGCAAGGCCAGAGCTTCAAATCTACCAGCCACTCCTCAGAAACCCTATACAGGGTCCCTCTGAGTCAGAACTGATTCAATGGTACTTAACAACAATACTGGGGAAGCAAGGGAATGTACCTCAGTGGTAGATTTCATACTTCACATGTATAAGGCCCCAGGTTTGATTCCCAGCATCTCCAAAGTGGCACTCAGAGTCCTGGTGTGGTGCTGTAGAATAAGCACTGGATAGCTAACCATAAGGTTGATGGTTCAAACCCACAAGCTGCTCCTTGGAAATCTTATACAGGGTTGCTAGGAGTCAGAACTGACATGACGGCACCTAACACCACCACCCTGGAGAATGAAAAGGAAGTATGGATTCAAGAACAATGTCATGTCTAGAAGTTTCGTTATTAAGTGCCATCTAATTGGTTCTGACTCAAAGAGACACTGTCTAGGAGGAGCAGCTAGTGAGTTTGAACTGCCGACCTTGCTGTTCAAACCACTCTTGTGATTCAGTGCATTATCCTTCAGCGCCACACCAGAACAAATTATTGTACTGGAGAATCTCATGGGATTTGCAAGTAGATTGCTTGTATATGAATATGGCTTCCGTACTTATTTGTCTTGTGACATGGGTCAATTACTTAAGTTTTTCAAGTCCTCAGTTATATCCACCTTCAAAATTAGAATTACAATTCCTGCCCCATGAATTGTTTGACACAAAAAAAGTGATTGATTAAGACTTGTATGCTAATATTGTTATTATTGAATGATCATTTGGTTAGAATCCACCTTATAGTAGGTTCTTGGAAATCTAAGACTGGAAAGTAGGATCCAAGGAAGTGAAGGATGGAGAAGTCACAAGGTAAGGGAAACAGCCTAGATTTAGAGTTTGGGGTTTGGGTTCACCACCAACCACTCAGTTTTCCACATGAACTTAGGCTATCCTGTTGGTCCATGGAATAAATCATGTTTTGGGAAACTTGCTGCCATGTTGAACTTAGTATTCACTGGGCCAAACTCTTTGTGCCCAGCAGTCCAGACTAACAGATGCCGCCATAAATAGTCTCAGAAAGGTCATTCAGCTTAGACAGGAAAGAAAACAGTTTTGCTTTTGTCACAGTGTATACGAAATTGACACCCTAGCCACTTCTTGAACATGTTCTAAAGACTCAACTAGCCTAAAATAGTCTTATTGAGAACAAATCACACAAGCATCCATCATAACATCTAGGAAAAAAACACTGACTAATTTCATGAAGAAGGTAACAGGAATCATAGATCTCGTGTTTGGGAAAACTCCGTATCAAGCAGAGGCATGCCCTGCCTCTGACTGAAGGGCCAGGCATACAGGGGAGGAATCTTGCCAATGAAATACCAGTCTTCACCCTTGTGATCTCTAGTGCTTCATTTGGATGCCATTACATTGCTTCATTGATGCCCTATAAAAGGTCTCCCAAGTTGCCAGTTCTTCAGATCACTGGCTTCTCCCAGTCTTGTTCCTGTCAGCAAAGACGGTAAGTCCTATGCCTGTGGTCTGAATATGACAAGAAATAGGTCCATGCTGAAAATAGGATGGAGAATTGTGAAAGGAAGGGTGTCCCAGGACACTGAGGACATATACCAAGAAAATTTGATGGCAGTAACTGATAGGAAGCACAGACCTAGAGTTGAGAAGAGACAAAGAGTTTTGCTGAGCTATCAGTCCTGAGTATGAAAGGTTTTCTAGAGGTTGATCTCCCTGCTCTTTCTCTGAATATAGGTGTGCAGTCTTCTCTTGGGTCCATGTGCCAAAGGGGTGATGTGATGGTACAGCTGATTCAGAGAGAAAATGGTGGAAACATTCACATGTGTCCTTGGTCTTTGCTCCTTGTCAGGCTCAGCTTGAGATTCATGTTGGCTCGGGATTCTACTGACATTAATTTGCCTTCATTGTGTATGCTTTGGCTGGACAGGAGAGAGGAGGCCTGTTATGAAAGGTCTCCCTGGTTGACATAGTCAATGATGGGGTGAAACCAGCTGGGGAACAACAATTTCCCAAAGATAATTCATAATGCAGATATTGGAGTGAGTAATGAGAAGAGGCTGAGGACATTGGGCAGAAACTTAGACATCACTCTTTGAAACCCTCTTCCATTGTGGAAACTGAGGCCCAGAGGTAAGAGGTAACTTTCCCAGAGTCCTACAGCTAGATAAAGGAACAGAGTTGAGCCTAGAATTTCTGGCTCTGAGGCCATCCTAACTACCAGATGTACAGCATTTTGGTACTTGTTAACTGCTCAAAAAGACCACTGTTTAGACCACAAATTATCCAACGTGTTTCCAGGAACCTTCCTAGTTTCAAAATTCTAATAAAAACCTTTTCTTTTTTTTTTCAGATTTTACAAAACCACAGAAAGATGTGTGACCAACAGAAACAGCAACAGTTCCCTCCATCCTGCGTGAAAGGTTCAGGTTTGGGGGTTGCTCAAAGTACAAAATGTGCACCTGTGAAATGTGTAGCTCCATGCCAGACAAAGACTGTCTCTGTTACTGGTCCTGCTCCAGTCCAGAGTCAAGCCTGCGTGAAATGCCCAGCTCCATGCCCTACTCAAACCTTTGTGAAATGCCAAGTTCCGTGCCAGACTCAGACCTACGTGAAATGCCCTGCTCCGTGCCAGACAACATATGTGAAGTGTCCAACTCCGTGTCAAACCCAGATGTATGTCAAATGCCCAGCTCCGTGCCAGACAACCTACGTGAAATATCCAACTCCTTATCAGACTCAGACATATTATGTCCAGTACCCATCTCCTGGCCAGACCTACTACATGCCGGCTCCTGGAAGTGGCACAGTGCAGAGCTCAGGAGCTCAGGGCTGTGTCCCTGACCCATGCTCTGCTCCCTGCTCCACCAGCTACTGCTGCCTGGCTCCCCGCACCTTCGGGGTGAGCCCCCTGAGGCGCTGGGTCCAACGACCCCAGTGTTGCAGCACAGGATCATCTGGCTGCTGTGGAAGTTCTGGGTGCAGCAGCTCTGGGTGCTGTAGTTCTGGGTGCAGCAGTTCTGGGGGCTGTGGCTCTGGGTGCGGCTGTGGCTCTGGATGCTGCTGTTTGGGAATTATCCCCATGAGGTCCCGAGGTCCTGCATGCTGTGACTGTGAAGACGATTGCTGCTGTTAAACACAGAAGGCCAGCTCTATTCCAGAAATCACAGCTGTGTCCATTCCAACTCTGCTGTGTTCTAGCTATTCCTTCTAGAACATTCACCAACTTCTGACCCCTTCCAGTAACATGGAATCTTATTGCTTTCCCTCTGTGCTTTGCTTCTTTATCAAGGCAGCCTGCCAGAGTTAGCACAACACCCAAACTCTGGCAAGAATAAAACTCTGAATACAATTACAGTGACCTCTGGTCTGTTTCTTTGGTCCATGCTTACTCTTCTCTATTACAAACTGCCTCCCGTTCTTACTCTTGCTTCTTAACAATTGGAAAGATCTGGTCTGTATGGAGATAAATAAGCCAGGAGGCAAATAAACTAGTGCAATCTCAGCCCTGAGTTCCCATGTCTTTCAGAACGTGTGAATTAACTTCCCTGGGTAATTAACAGTATCTGAGATCACAGATTTTGGGCTTGAGGGTTGCCTCTTTCCCATTCTTTGATGAGCCTGGGGAGAAGCTTTGGCCAACAAGAGACCCTTATGGAAGTGTGTTTGTGTGTAAATTTGGAGTTCACACTCCTGGATGTTTAAGAGGCAGTGAGGTCTTAAGAGCATTCCTTGATGGTGCCCCTGCTGCTGCGTGAGTGACTGGGACCCATAGTGGACATTACAGTCTATGATTTTTATCATCTGATGGACTTGTCCTGTTGAGGCCCAAGAGAAAAGGCTTTTTTATAAAAAACTATTCAAGCCTAATTATGATTATGGCTACCTCCAAAATTATCCTCTTACACACAGTTCCCTGTTTTCAACCTCACTCATGCCCATTTTATTACTAAAGCTTGATATTCAGTAGAAGACAAGTGCTCTAGAAATAATCCAAATCTTCCTGTTTATGCTCAACTTCAGGATATTATAGACTTGGAGAATTAGGCTTTGTGAAGACTCAATACCAGCTTGAGAGGGCCAATCAAATTCATTCCATTTCCTTATATTCAAACCAGAAAGAGCATGTGATGTGTTTTTTCTAGCTATGTCTTTTTTATGTGGCATCTGATAACTCACCTTGTACATGGGCTTTGACATATCTAGACAGTTAGAATATGATAGGCCAATGTGCTTTAGGGACCCTGGGAGTTCCCATTCATACAATGACAGCTTGCAATGGAGCAATGACTTGAAATTAATGACCATATGGGACAGAGAAATTGTCCTCTCAGGTATTCTTATTGCTGATAAACTTGGATAGGCTGATTACTCCTCTGAGGCTTCATTTCCCCTTATGGTGCATTTAACCTAGAAAGTTCTGTTCATAATCTGTCTGCCAGTGTGGCTCAAATAAATTACTGATGGCATTACTGAGGAGATGATAGCTCAACAAAAATCTTTCAAATCTTTGGCAAACATTGTATTGGGCAACAAAATTTTCCTAGATTTTATTTTAGCACAGCAAAGAGGTATTTGTGCGGTCACCAATACTTACTGTTCATGGTAAAGAATCTCCAGAGAAATAGAGCAGGATGTCTCAAAAATACACCAAAACTTTTCTTGGATACATGCCATCCTCTCATGACCATTCCTTCTTCTTTTAATACTTTTAGCTGGTTACTCCAAAGCATAGGATCTGAGATATGCTTCTTCCTGCTAACTTGTCTCTTTAAACATTGTGATCATTATTATAAAACAAGACCAAATTGACTGCCACTGAGTTGATTCTAACTCAGCCACAATATACTGGGTTGCTGAGACTGTACACTTTACAGAAGCAGACACCCTCAACTTCTTCCTGTGATGTGACTGGTAGATTTGAACCAATGACCTTATAGTTCAAACCTACCACTGACATAACCAACAGTCATTGCACATGGCCATGTGGCAAATCATGTGTTTAGAAGAAACTGACTATGCTGAAGAGAATGAAGTTGAGATCTGGAGTCAGACCCTTTTTGAGAGTGTCCAGTTATTCCTCTAATGAGGTCCTTTCCACAATACTCACCCAGCTGAAGATTAATACATCCTGAAGACAAGGCCCAGAGTTACAGCCATGAAAATCAGATGGTACCTGGTTACTAAAAAGTCAAATAATGCCTGTCTAAGTGCTATGGATTAACGTGCTGGAATGTAAAGTTGGTTTGCATTGCAAGGTCGACAGTTCAAGCTCACCAGCTGCTCCTCGGAAACCCTAAACAGGGTTCCTATGGATCGGAACTGACTCGACGGCACTTAATGACAACAACAACAACAACCAGAAAGCAATGTCTGAGATCTTAAAAACTACCAGGATAGCACCCAAGCTGCAGCAAAAGTTCCCACATAAGGAACTCAAAAAAGAGAGTAGTGGGAAAGAGCTCCCTGCAAAGAGCTATCCCCTAGAAGCAGCAGCATTGAAAGCTAAAAGACTCACAGACACCAAGGCCTGCCAGGAGTAGGGTAACTCCTTCAGTGGGTGATCTGTGCCCCCTAGTGACAACTTGATCTAAGGGAGGTTGTTGTTGTGAAGTGCTGTCGAGTCGGTTCCAACTCATAGTGACCCTTTATAGGGTTTCCAAAGAACAGCTGGCAAACTTGAACCACCAACCTTGCAATTCAAACATCTTTTCAGTCTGGTACATTAACCCACAGCGCCACACCAGGACTCCCTAAAGGAGGGAGACTATAAAAACCTGAGGTACTGGCATAACTGAGATAGAGTAATTCCAGACCTAAGTTAAAAATTGTATTTGAATAAAAATTCAGTCTGATCTTGAAATGTCTGATTTTGTTAAAAGGATGATTCAGTTCTTTTGTCAAAGTTCAACTTATGGTCAAGAGTCAGAATTTATGGCTTAGGTGAAGAATTGCTTATTAAAAGAGCCAATTTAGATGTTTATTCAGTTCGATCCGAAAGAATGCCCTTTTCAGCCATGTCTTTCTCCTCTTCCCCACTTCCCAGATTAAGAAATAGGACTGAAATTTAAAATCCTGAGCTAGAGCCTATATCATAAACCTGTAACCAGGGTGAAGAGCAAATATCCAGGCTCAGTCCTGATTTTCTGGCTTCTCCAAATTAGACTTCATTTTCAATCACTAAGATCTCTTGCTTAATTTCTGTTCTCACTCTCTGCAACTTAGAGTGCATTTAGTATTCTAACTCATTGCTGGTATGCCTCTCCTTTCAGTGAGATTTTTTTATTACTCCAATGAAACTTTCCATTTTTAATTCCAGTGTACATCTGTTTGTTTCACTACCACAATGCTAATAACAAATGGTTTTATAAAATATATCATTGACAACTGAATGGAAGCCTTTTAAATCAGCAACTACAAAAAAACAGCAGTCATGAAAACAATAGTATGTGCTTGTAAGTATGTGCAGCTGAAACTATGTGTTTCCAAGCACCACCGTAACTGAGAAATAATGACAGCTCTGAGCGGGGCACATTGTTTTAGTTAGTGTTAGAGTTGGTTCTGAATCACAGAGACTCAGTATAGGGTTTCCAAGGAGCGACTGGTAAGTTTGAACCATACACCTTGTGGTTCAAACCAACCTGTGATCCTGCTCATATCCTCGAGTGCCAAAAAAGGTTCAAAAAGTAAGCCAGCATAGAGTTTCAGCCTTGCAAATATATTGATACTTATAAGCTGGGTTTATGAAAAACTTTTTTTTTTTTTTTTAATGATACCTCCTAGGATATTATTATAAAAAATAATACGTTTCTGTTGAAACACTGCACAAAATTTTACAGGTCATCATTCTCTGTGTCAACCCCCTATGGCAATGTTACATGGTGTGGTCTGCACATCCCTCATGATGCCATCTGCTTCTGAAAAAAAATCAAAATCATCTAATGAAACTCTCTGAATCACAACAGTCTGATTTGTTTGGTCATGGGGTTGCTATGACTCTGGCTAACTGGAGGGCAGATAAAAACAGCATTCATTTCCCTGGCTCTTTCCTAGCCGTGCCATATGCAACTCCCCCTCCACGGGTCTAGCTTGCACATTTGTAAAATGAGCGGTTGGCCCATAATATCACTAAAGTATTTTCAAGTATCATCATTTGTCTCCCAGAACAAGAATATTTATACTGTTTAATGTTGATCCCTTATCATTTTTGGATCTATTAGACTCAAAATGTGTCCCTTTTCAGCATCAGAACATCTTTGACCAAATCAAAAGTTCTGCAGTATGCTGTATTTCATATCTTTAAAAACCTTGATGTGCATTTCTCATATAAAACAACCCAAATTACCTGACCTCTGATCCCTCTACAATATTCACTGAAATAGTACTATGAGATAGTTTGAGAAATGGTAAACCCAGAATATGAAACTGAATGTCTGAGGAACCGGGAAGTGTTTTCTTGTAGAGACTAAGGTGCTGTTATCTTGTGACCTAATATGAGACTGTTTTCTCATGATTTTTTCTGAATTAGGAAAGTCTACTGAGGAGAACTGGTAGCGTAGTGGTTACGAATCGGGCTGCGAACCTTAAGGTCAGCGGTTCGAAACTACCAGCCGCTCCGCGGGAGAAAGATGAGGCTTTCTACTCCTGTAAAGATTTACACCCTCGGAAACCCTGTACAGGGTCGCTATGGGTCGGACCCGACTCGATGGCACTTAACAACAACAACAACAACAACTGAGGAGAACCGTAATCCACATTCCCTCAGTAGGATCATTTTTATGTGATACTTTCTTTTTAAGAAAACAGATCCTGTCAAAGTTACCAATAGGAAAGGCTAATGCATAAAAATGTTCTATTTTTCCAAATTAATAAAAATATAATTGCATACATGTTAATGTTTTTATCTTTTCTAATGTATAAAATGATAGTGCAGAGGTTCCATACTATAAGTACCAGATTATGAACCACAAAGTACATGGTTCAAGACCACCAGCTGATCTGCTGGAGGAAGATGAGGCTTTCTGGTCTCACCAAGATTTAAAACCTCAGAAACCCTATACAGGGTTGTTATGAGTCGGAAGTGACCCGACAGCACTTAACAACAAGAAGAACAAAATATATATAATGGCGTGCTTA